CAGCCGCGCTGGCCGAAACAGCCGTGCTGGCGACCGTGGAGCTCCTCTGCCTGGGAATTTCCTAGTCTGTGGGCAATAAAAATGTGGCGTCCACTCACCCTCTGCGCTTTCACTGGGAGCTGCAATCCTGAGCTGTTCCTAAACGGCCATCTTGGATCCTCCCCCTCACTAATAGATTTCTATAACTATTTCAGCTAAAGAAAATTATAAAAATGGAACCCAATATAAAACTCTTGTTTTTCTAGTGTAGAAACTTCTCTGTTGACAATTTGCAAGTTGTCATAGCTACTTGCCAGTGTAGCATTGAATTCAGTTCTGCTCACTAATTTGTGGAATGAGAAGCTGCTTGTGTGGTAACACTTTGCACTTAGCGAAAATTGATAGGCATGTGTAAGTAGATAATCACATTTCCTCTTGTATCATTATACAATCTAGTAATGTTTCAAAATTTTTTGACACAGTTTTGTGGTTGTTGAAGGATTACTGTACTTCCAGATGTAGTTTGAGATAAACTATCTGAATTTTTTTCTTATTGTTGTGTTATCTTTTCTCTCCATTAGTGTCTTGAGAATTAGAGATGAATTTTTGTTTCTTGTGTGTCCTCCCATGTTACCTAGACAACGTGTGCAGCTGATATTTTAGTTCTTGGATAAATTAACAAAAACTTCTCTCCCTTCTTCTCTGGGCTTTAGGCATCATAGGCGAGTATTAGTGGAATGGCTACGAGATCCATCTCAGGAGCTTGAATTTATTGCTGATATTCTTAATCAGGATGCAAAGAATTATCATGCCTGGCAGCATCGACAGTGGGTTATTCAGGTATTGCCTTTCTTGTACAGTGTTTTTCAGATTTTTTTTAACTGAACTAAGATTACTATTAAAATCTGTTTCTAAACTAAAACACACACATATAAAGATGATTGCACACAAAGTACAGGAGAATTGCTTGAACCTGGCAGAGGGAGTGAGCTGAGATTGCACCACTGCACTCCAGCCTGGTGAGAGAGTGAGACTTCGTCTTAAAAAAAAGAATTACTCAAATACTTAATTAAAACCTGACATCCTCCATGTTGGCTAACCTTTACAATCTCCTTGGATATAGTAAATTTTAAATATTTTAAAAATTGAATTGTGTCACACATTTGTTAGCAAATTGAGTATAAAAAGCCTATTTTAACTACAGATGTATTATTTGAATTAACAAAGGCATATGTTAAGTTTTTTTCATAAACTTTGGAATATGAGTTTACAGCAACTGTTCAGTATTTTACTTCTACCCACGTGTTAAAGTTTTATGCTAAATCCTGAATAGAATAGTTGTTAACTCCCACTCTGGGTTTTTTATTTTAACAAACAATTCTAGTGTTGTTTCCTGTGAATTTTTTTCTAGGGATTGCTACTTTCTGCACTATTCATTAGACCAAGAGCATTTCGCCAAATAATTAAAATTTAAAAAATTTAAAATTTTTCCAAGTTTGATTAAAGGGATAACATGTTGTAAAGGTATTCGATATTTTTACTTATTTCTGAAAAACAAATCACAAAAGCATACGTTTTACACATACGCATGGCTCTTTCCATCTACCACAAGAGATTAAGACCTAGAACATAACCAATATTTTTGAAAAGCCCCCTTAACTGGCATGCTTCTTACTGAGATTCTTATAAAAAAAAGTTTCCTATGAGAAAAGATTTAAAAAATCTCTTAATTGTGTTGTAGTTTATACATTTCTATTTATTTTATAAAGTACACATAATTATCTTGTTTTCACCTTTAATATATTGTGGTTTTATATATTTCCAATATAATTTTTTTTTTTTTTTTGAGACGGAGCTTCACTCATGTTACCCAGGCTGGAGTGCAATGGCGCGATCTCGGCTCACCGCAACCTCCGCCTCCTGGGTTCAGGCAATTCTCCTGCCTCAGCCTCCTGAGTAGCTGGGATTACAGGCACGCACCACCATGCCCAGCTAATTTTATGTATTTTTAGTAGAGACGGGGTTTCACTATGTTGGCCAGGATGGTCTCAATCTCTTGACCTCGTGATCCACCCGCCTCGGCCTCCCAAAGTGCTGGGATTACAGGCTTGAGCCACCGCGGCCGGCCTATTTCCAATATAATTTTTTAAAACGTAATGATTTCAACTATAATGAATTCTGAAAACTGAAGAAAATCTGTCTATACATTTTCGTATGCTAAATGAAAAGGAAATAACTTGTTCCAAGTAGGACATATATACATTATGTAGATTACTTACCTGGCAGGGGAGATATGATCACTGAGGTGATTTTCCCAGGATAAAGTTCATTCATTGCACTCTGGATGTGCTGACCCCTGTGATTTCCCCAACTGTGGGAAATTCGACTGCACAATTTGTGACAGGGGGACTGTGTGGCACTTTCCCCTGGTCTTCACAGTTTAAGAACAGGTTTTGGCCGGGCATGGTGGCTCATGGCCTGTAATCCTAGCACTTTGGGTGGTTTAAGCAGGCGGATTGCCTGAGCTCAGGAGTTCGAGACCAGTCTGGGCAACACGATGAAACCCTGTTTCTACTAAAAAATACAAAAAATTAGCTGAGTGTGTCATTGTGTGCCTGTAGTCCCAGCTATTTGGGAGGCTGGGGCAGGAGAATGGCTTGAACCCGGGAGGCAGAAGTTGCAGTGAGCCAAGATTGTGCCATTGCACTTCCAGCCTGGGCGACAGAGCAAGAGTCCGTCTCCAAAAAACAACAGATTTTCTCTGTTTATTTTTATTAAAAAAAAAAAAAAAAGTGAGTCAGTGGTTCTCAATCAGCAGTGATTGTGTCCCCTAGGGGACATTTTTGGTTGTTATAACTTGGGGCATGTTGCTATTGGGAGCTATTGGGGAGAGGGCCAGGATGCTACTAAACATCCCAAAATGCACAGGGCAGCCCCCCAACAACAAAGAGTTATCCAGCCTGTACTCTCAGCAGTGTCATAGCCAAGGAACTCTGGTCTATTTCTATATGGAAAGCTATTTTATTAATATTTTAGTTATTTTCAATCAGGATTTAAAGGATTCAGCATATTCTTTGATGATGTAAAATGGGTCTCTGAGGCAGTTCTTTAAAAAATATTTTATGGCTGGGTGCAGTGGCTCACACCTGTAATCCTAGCACTTTGGGAGGCCACGGTGGGCGGATCACAAGGTCAGGGGATCAAGACCATCCTGACTAACATGGTGAAACCCTGTCTCTACTAAAAATAAAAAAATTAGCTGGGCGTGGTGACACACAGTTGTAGTCTCAGCTACTTGGGAGGCTGAGGCAGAAGAATTGCTTGAACCAGGGAGGCAGGGGTTGTCGTGAGCTGAGGTTGCACCACTGCACTCCAACCTGGGTGAGAGACTGAGACTCCATTTCAAAAAAAATTTATAACATATATTAGAAATGTAAAATTTTAGTTTTAAATGTTAGTTCTAAACATGAATTATAAACATTCATGGCCTGTATGTCATTGACATTGACTGTACTAGAGCTTCTTAAGTGAAGGAATGAAGAACCCTTCTTTGCCCCCAGTCCATCACAGGTTGGATGTATTTTACTGTATTTCATGTACGTCTCATTTATATAAAAATACAGTGCCATGTATTTTATATAAAATTATACAATTTATATAAAATTTTACAATGAGGTTGTGTTCAGTAGCTCACACCTGGGAGGCCCAGGCAAGTGGATCCTGTGAGGCCAGGAGTTCAATCAAGACTAGCCTGGCAACATGGCAAAACCCTGTCTCTGTAAAAAATACAAAAATAATAGCCGAGCATAGTGGCTTGTGCTTGTGTTTGCAGCTACTCAGGAGGTTGAGGCAGGAGAATCACTTCAGCCCAAGAGGTTGAGGCTGTGGTGAGCTATGCTCACGCCACTACACTCCAGCCTGGGCGACAAAGTGAGACCATGTCTGAATTAAAAATAAAAATAAAAATGAAATATACACACACACGGAATACTACTCACCAGTCAAAATAAATGAATGATCCATACAGGCAACATCTTGAATGGATTTCAAGTGTATGATCCTTTGTGGAAAAGGGAGTCTCAGGTTTCATACTGCATGGCTCCATTGAGAGAACATCCTTGAAATAGCAAAATTATAGACGTAGAGAACGGATGAGAGGTTGCCAGGGTGAGGGAAAAGGGGGTACAGCTATAAAGGGGTAGCATCAGGCAGTTTCTTTGTGCTAAGGGAATAGTTCAGCATCTTGATTGTAGTGGTTATACTATACATGGGATAAAATTGTGTAGAACTATATTCTGTCCCCATTCCCCACCTGTACCACATAACACACAAGTGACTACATGCAAGATCTGAATAGGCTGGGCGCAGTGGCTCACGCTTGTAATCTGAAGACTTTGGGAGGCCGAGGCAGGCGGATCACCTGAGGTCAGGAGTTCGAGACCAGTCTGGCCAACATGGTGAAACGCTGTCTCTACTGAAAATACAAAAATAGCTGAGTGTGGTGGTGGGCATCTGTAATCCTAGCTACTTGGGAGGCTGAGGCAGGAGAATCACTTGAACCGAGGAGGCGGAAGTTAGTGAGTCAAGATCACTCCATTGCACTCCAGCCTGGGTGACAGAGTGAGACTCCATCTCAAAAACAAAAAAACCAAAAACATTTGAATCAAGTTAGCGTTTCCATTAACAATAATGTGCTGATGTCATTTTCTGGCTTTGGGATTGCGCTTCAGTTGGTAAGATGTTTACCATTTGGGGAATCTAAGTGAAGGGTACACAGGGCACTGTGTTACATTTATAGCTTACATGAGTGAAAACAAACAGAAACACATGTATGGAAAACACTACCAATTTTTCATTATTAGATTCAGTGGACATAAAATTATTGTTATACTGATAAAACAGCTTGTAGATGTTTACGCTCTCTTTCTATACTTAGCATGCTGGAGACTGAGAACAGTGGGAGGACACCAATCAGTGGTCCACACTAGGATCACTGAACTCCACTAGGAACTTTCACAAAAATTTTCCTTTCCTTGACGCATTTATTTTCATGATCACCTGTAAAATCGGGGACTATCACAGGAGATTCTTACTTTTTTGCTGTTAACAAATAAGAAAACTCCATTATCTTTTTCATAATGTCCCCTACTTTCGAATTATTTGTAAGTTTTTATCATTCTCTTTTAAATTATCTTTATTGGTTTTCTTCCCCCCGTGATTTTTTTTTTTTAAGACAGCTTTATAATATAAAGAATTAATATTGGCTGGGTATGGTGGGTTATGCCTGTAATCCCAGCACTCTGGGAGGCCGAGGTGGGCAGATTGCTTGAGTTCAGGAGTTCAAGACCAGCTTGGGCAACATGGTAAAACTCCATCTCTATGAAAAATACAAAAATTAGCCAGTTGTGGTGGCGCCTGCCTATAGTCCCAGCTATTTGAGGGGCTGAGGCAAGAATATTGCTTGAGCCTGGGAGATGGCGGTTGCAGTGACCTGAGATCATGCCATTGCACACCAGCTTGGGCAACAGAGCAAGACTCCATCTCAAAAATTAATAAAAATTTATATCTTGGTCCAATTGTGTGTATTTCTTTTTTCTTTTCTTTCTGTTTTTTGAGACAGGGTCTCTTTCTGTTGTCCAGAGTGCAGTGGTGCGATCATAGCTTGCTGCAGCCTTAAACTCCTGGGCTCAAGCAATCCTACCTCTTCAGCCTCCTGAGTAGCTGGACTGTAGGCATGTGCCACTATGCTCGACTGATTTTTTAATTTTTATTATTTTTGGAGACAGAGTCTCACTTTGTCCCCCATGCTGGAGTGCACTGGCTCTATCTCGGCTCACTGCACCCTCCGCCTCGGGTTCAAGTGATTCTCGTTCCTCAGCCTCTTGAGTAGCTGGGATACAGGCATCTGCCACCACGTCTGGCTAATTTTTGTATTTTTATTAGAGACGGGATTTTGCCATGTTGGCCAGTGTGGTTTTGAACCCCTGACCTCAGGTGATCTGCCTGCCTCGGCCTCCCGGAGTGCTGGGATTACAGATGTGAGCCACCGTGCATGGCCTGCCTTTATTATTTTTTGAAATGTGGTCTCCTTATGTTGCCTTGGCTGGTCTCGAACTCCTTCTTCTTCAGCCTCCCGAAGCAGTGGAATTGCTGGTGGGAGCCACCACTGTTGGGCATGTATGCTTCTCTCCATGTATTTTAATGTGATTCTGTCATGTATGTGCACTTCTGAATGCTGCCCTTTTACTTTGATATATTAATATCAAGTCACATGAAATTTATATCTATACTATGGTCACTTATTCTCTTACTAGTGAATTTGGTGGGGTTTTCCCCCCAAATTTTCTTTGATGTCTTTTTTACTGCTTTCTGTGTATGTCTTTCCAGTCTCTATCATCAGTTTCGTACTTGTATCCCCCTCTATTTTCTTTATTTGCAGCTGTCGCTACCTTCTGAATTTGTGATAAATCCTGTGTCTTCAGTTCTACCTTCCTTGTTGAAGCTTTATTTATTTTTATTGTTCATAAATAATGGGACATTGCTAATTGGATGGTTTTTCTAAATTTTTCCTTTAGGAATTTAAACTTTGGGATAATGAACTGCAGTATGTGAACCAACTTCTCAAAGAGGATGTGAGAAATAACTCTGTCTGGAACCAAAGATACTTCGTCATTTCTAACACCACTGGCTACAATGATCGGGCTGTATTGGAGAGAGAAGTCCAGTTAGTAATCTTCTTCACTTGCTCGTTCATTACAAACATCTTTGCATGCCTACCATGTCTCAGGCACTGGGGATATAGCATATCAAGATCCTACCCCATGGAACTAAAAGAGGACAGAGTACTGAGTGAAACATACAATGATAGATTTACAAATAACGTAGTGTACCTCTACTTGTAGTATCTTCAGTTTCTCAAAATATTGCTACTGGAGATTGAAGAGAATTCCAGTGTTATGGGGTATTGTCTAAGAAGATTTATTTTAAGACTATCTCATTAAATTCTGTTGCATTTTAGGTAATCATCCCCAGATGCCATTTTACCCTAATGCAGGATTTGGGACTGGATAAGTTTTGGTTGTAGGGGGCTGTCCTGTGTTTTGTAGAGTGTTTAGCAGCGTCCTGTCCTTAAGCAAAAATGTTTTCAGACATTGCCAGCTGTCCCCTGAGAAGTGAAGTCACCCTCAAGTTGAGAACCACTATACAAAGAGCTATTATTAGAGCTAGAAATTCTGAGTTGGCATCAATTTCTATGTTGTATCCATAAACATTAGTAGCCACGATTTTCTGACCTTACTTGTCCATTGGATCTGAGTGTCTGTTTCACAATTTGAACAGGCTTACTGTTTTTAGAGCCTGATGAGGTGGGAGTCATAATTTTAGTATAGACGTGTTTGAACGACTGTTGGGCGGAGCTGATTTGTATGGTGCACCTGCCTGTCATCCTCCAAGCCCTTGCTTTTGCCTGGATTGAGGCAGCTTGCCCTTATTTTATCTGCTCTATACAGGATTCTGGTGACTTGAAATTTATAAAAGGCTTCAATCCATGTCTCACTTTAATGCCCTGCTTTGGGCTTATGTCTGGAGCACACACTACCCCTCAAGCACACTTTATGCTTGCTTTCTACTGCTCTCCTATATAAAGCATACCTGGTTTTATGAGCCTTGCAGATATTATGGTTGGGTTTTTAAAATATATATAAGTTGAAGATTCGTGGCAGTCTTGCATTGAGCAAGTCTGTCAGTGCCATTTTTTCTAACAGCATGTGCTCACTTTGTGTCTCTGTGTCATGTTTTGGTACTCCTCAGTATTTCACATTTTTTCATAATCATTATATCTGTTTTAGTGATTTGTGATCAGTCATCTTTGATCAGTCATCGATTGTAATTGTTTGGGGGTGCCACAAACTGCACCCATATAAAACAGCAAATATCACTGTTGCATGTGTTCCCTCATCTTTCTCCTTCACCTCAGGCCTCCCTATTCCCTGAGACACAACAATATTGACATTAAGCCATTTAACCCTGCAATGTCATCTGAGTGTTCAAGTGAAAGGAAGAGTCACAGCCTCTCACTTTAAATAAAAAACTAGAAGTGATTAAGCCTAGTGAGGAGTGCGTGTCAAAAGCTGAGATAGGTCCAAAGCTAAGCCTCTTGCACCAAACAGTTAGCTGTATTGTGAATGCACAAAAAGAGTTACTGAAGGAAATTAAAAGTGCTGCTCCAGTGAACACATGGACAAAACAGCATTATTGCTGATACGGATAAAGTTTGAGTGGCCTAGATAAAAGATCAAACCAGCCACAACATTCCCTTTACCCAAAGCCTGATCCAGAGGAAGCCCTTATTCTCTTTAATTCGATGAAGGCTGAGAGAAGTGAGGAAGCTGCAGAAGAGAATTTGGATGCTAGCAGAGGTTGGCTCATGAGGTGTAAGCAGGACGCCATCTCCATAGCATGGAAATACAAGGTGAAATAGCAAGTGCTGCCGCAGAAGCTGCAGCAAGTTCTCCAGAAGGTCCAGTTCAGATCACTGATGAAGGTAGCTGCGTATAAACAGAAGATTTTCAGTGTAAACAGCCTTTTATTGGAAGAAGATGCCATCTAGCACTTTTCATAGCCAGAGAGAAAGCACTGCTTCAAAGCTTCACATAGCTGGCTGAATCTTGTTAGAGGCTAATGAAGCTGGTGACTTTTAAGTTTAAACCGGTGGTCAATGACCATTCTGGAAATCCTAGAGCCCTTAAGAATTATGCTGAATCTCCTCTGCCTGTGCTCTGTAAATGGAACAACAAAGCCAGGATGATAGCACATCTGTTTATGGCATGATTTACTGAAAATTCTAAGCCCTCTTTGAGGCCTATTGTTCAGAAAAATTTCTTTGAAAGTATTATTGCTCATATTACTGCTCATTGACAATGGACCTGGTCACCCAAGAGCTCTAATGGAGATGTGCAAAGAGATGCTGTTTTCATGCCTGCGAACACAACATCTGTTCTGCAGCCCTGGATAAAGGAGTAATTTTGATTTTAAAGTCTTACTGTTTAAGAAATACATTTTTTAAGACTATAGCTGCCATAGATAGTGATTCCTCCAGTGAATCTGCGCAGTCAGTTGAAAATCTTCTGGAAAGAATTCACCATTCTAGATGCTATTAGGAATATTCATGATTCACAGGAAGAGGTCAAAATATTAACATTAACAGGAATTTGGAAGAAGTTGATTCCAGCCCTCATGATGACTTTGAGGGGTTCAGGACTTTAGAGGAAGGAGGAATTGCTGCTGAGGTGGAAACAGCAAGGAAACTAGAATTAGAAGTGGAGCCTGAAGATGTGACTGAACTGCTGCATCATGATAATACTTGATCAGATGAGGAGTTGCTTCTTACGGATGAGCAAAGGAAGTAGTTGCTTAAGATGGAATCTACTCTTGGTAACAACGTTGTGAACATTGTTGAAATGACAACAAAGGATTTTTAATATCTTGACTATTACCTAAACTTAGTTGATAAAGCAGCCGCAGGATTTGAGAGGACAGGCTCCAGTTTTGAAAAGTTTTACTGTGAGTAAAATGCTGTCAGCATCACATCCTACAGAGAAATCTTTTATTGTTGTCTTATTTTAAGAAATTGCCACAGCCACCTCATCCTTCAGCACCCAGCACCCTACCCTGATCAGTCAGCAGCCATCAACATGGAGGCCAGACCCTCCACCAGCAGAAAGATTACGACTTGCTGAAGGCTCAGATGATCATTAGCATTTTTTAGCAATAAAGTATTTTTAAATTGAGGTATGTACATTGTTTTTTTAGATATGATGCTATTGCATACTAGACTACAGTATAGTGTAAACATAATTTATGTGCTGGGAAACAGAAAAGTCGCGTGACTTGCTTAATTGTGATAAAATTGCTTTATTGAGATGGTCTAGAACAGAACCTTTGATATCTGCAAGGTATACCTATACTGTTAATATGGTAGTGACTAGCCACATATGGCTATTTAAGTTTCAATCAGTATGATTGTAAAAAAATTAAAAATACAGTTCTTCCATTGCACATGTCCTATTTCAGGTGTTCAGTACCCACATGTGGCTAGTGATTACCATATTGGACAGCACTTGTCAAAGAACATTTCCATCATCACTGGCGGATTTATTGAACGTTACTGGTCTAAAGATTGACCAGTTAAGAGTAACAAAGTATTTTAAATATTGAATATAAAGAGTTTTGAAAATGCAAATTTTTAGCCTTTCCAGAGGCAGATCACTGCCTATTTCACAACAGGCAGATTGTATTGTCAAAGAGAAACAGAAATAATTACCCAAGAATCTAAAAGAGCTTCCTATATTTAATATTTATTTTCCTTTTAAGATGGGTAAAGGAAGTATTTAAAATGTTAAGAGTAGCTGTAGGTGTCTAGAATTTACAGTTTGTTAACTTTTAACTCTAAGCATACAGATAGATGTGCATAATTATTTTTGTCATCTTTTTATTATAAAAGTAATGCAGTGTAGTTATGGGGGAAATTGTACTAAATTCTATAAAGTAAAAAGTCAAAGTCTTTTACTGTTCTTCATCCCACATCCCATTTTCCAGAGTGAGCTATAATTGGGTGAATTTCCCCAAACTTTATAAATACACTTGCAAACATTTATACACAACAACCTAGATAATAATGTTACAGGCATTGCCTTTTCACTTAATGTGTCATGGCCCTTTTTCTAGACTGTGAGTGCATAGTCTTCTAGTACTACCAATAACAGCATTTATCAAGCATTTATACTATGTGCCGCTAATTCTAACAGCTCTCTAAGACACTTCATGAAGAACTTGAGATTCTAGGTAATTCTGTAATTTGCCTAAGAGCACATTTTATGAGGCCAGGAGCCAGGATTTGAAGCTAGGGAGCCTGACCTCAAAGTTCATGGGTTTGTTTTGTTTTGTTTTCCTAAGAGAGAGGGTTTCACTCTGTTACCCAGTCTGGAGTGCTCGCTGCTGCCTTGAGCTCCTGGGCTTAAGGAACCCTCCCACCTCAGCCTCTGAGTAGCTGAGACTACAGGCATGTGCCACTGCTCCCAGCTAATTGTTAAAATTTTTTGTAGAGGTAAGGTCTCCCTATGTTGCCCAGAATGGTCTTATCTCCTGGCCTCAAGCACTTTCTGCTTTGACCTATGAAAGCGCTGGGATTACAGATGTGAGCCATCATGCACAGCTAAAGTTAATGTTTTAACCATAAAAATAGGTAATGCTTTAGTACACATATATGTAAATAAAAATTTAGATATTGCCAACATGAAATTAAGAATCTTAAACAAGGACCAGCTAAGACCCGGAGGGACATGGTTTCGCAAAGAATTGGAAACATTAAGTCATGTAAAAGTAGTTGGAGAAATATTTTTGTAATGTTGAATTGAGTTTATTATTACTCTGTGGGAAAAAAAAAAATCTTAATAGTAACAGCACTGCAGCAGCACCAAGACTACCAAGCTTTAGTCAGTGACTCACTCATCTGAGCAAGTATGTGGTGAAGCAAGTTCTGTGGCTCCCTTAGGATTTGTGGTAATCAGGTCTGAATTATATTTTATCTGTTTAAGGGGAAGACAGAAGTATGGAGCACCCATTTTGACAGAATCATGTCACAGTTGACTAGTCATTTTGCTTTGGAATATAAGAAATATATTCTTGTGTTGGTTTTTCATTTTTATTGTTTGCCTATATAATTTCCATGCTGTTTTTTAATGATAGCTAAGATTATGTAAATTGTCCTATTTCAGTGACTAAGGATTTGTTGGGATATAAGTAGAGCGTAGACTGTTTTCCCAAGGGTGCTTTACCAATAAATGGGAAGTCTCCTTCTTTTAGCTGATGTTTCCTTCAAAAGGAAAATTTTCCATATTATTTGAAGGAATTTGTTTTCTTTTCTTTTTTTTTTTTTTTTTTTGAGATGGAATTTTGCTCTTGTTGCCCAGGCTGGAGTTCAATGGTGTGAACTTGGCTCACTGCAACCTCTGACTCCTAGGTTCAAGTGATTTTCCTACCTCAGCATCCCGAGTAGCTGGGATTACAGACATGTGCCACCATGCCCGGCTAATTTTGTATTTTATTTATTTTTTTAATTAATTAATTTTTGAGACAGAGTCTTGCTCTGTTGCCAGGTTAGAGTTCAGTGGCGCAATTTTGGCTCACTGCAACCTCCACCTCCCTTGTTTAAGCAATTCTCCTGCCTCAGCCTCCTGAGTAGCTGGGACTACAGGCGTGTGCCACCATGCCCAGCTACTTTTTGTATTTTTAGTAGAGACGGGGTTTCACCATGTTGACCAGGATGGTCTCGATCTCTTGACCTAGTGATCCACCCGCCTCGGCCTCCCAAAGTGCTGGGATTACAGGCTTGAGCCACCGCGCCCGGCCCTCTAATTTTGTATTTTTAGTAGAGACAGGGTGTCTCCATGTTGGTCAGGCTGGTCTCGAACTCCCAACCTCAGGTGATTTGCTTGCCTCAGCCTCCCAAAATGCTGGGATTACAGGTGTGAGCCATTGTACCTGGCCTTAAAGGAAATATTTCATGTTAATTTTTTTCCCATTGTAAATTGAAGCTTTTAGATTAGTTATGTGTCCTTCCCTAGAACTGAATTGACAGCTGCAGCCTTGAGAGATTCTCTGATTTAAATATGACCTGGAGAGGTGCCACAGTCCACTAAGAGATATGCTGACACAAGTGAAAGTATGTTTCCAAAGCTGTGCCACAATCTTACTAAAACTGTGTCTCATCGTTGCACTGTTCTTTTAAAATTGTATATACATTTTTCTTGCAGATACACACTGGAAATGATTAAACTAGTCCCACATAATGAAAGTGCATGGAACTATTTGAAAGGGTAAGAGGTTGTTGTTTTATTATTTAAAAAAACAAAGTGGCTATATGATATGTCATGGAGTATATTCCATAGTCAGATTCCAAAAGGATAGTAAATAATTTTTCATTTTTCTGGACCTAAGAGCAGAAGTATAACAGCATTATGGAAACTCTGGAAAAGTGCCTTCTACCCTTCTCTGCACCTCCAAAACACCTGCCAACACCATTTGCAGAATAATCCACCAGTAAATAATTCCATTTTAATTGTATTTATGAATATTGTAGTCTTTTTTTTTTTTTTTTTTTTTTTTTT